TTTCCTTAGTTGGGAGCTCTAGTGCAGAAAGGAATTATGGTGAGCATGAACGGAAGCCTAAACCACCTCAATCTGCAACTAGAAGAGAACCTCCATCAAGACCACCACAATCAGCTCCGAAATCCTCTTCCACTCTTCCTCTCAATGTACTGACTGCATGCGTTTCAACTTATTATTAGTTTCTATGAACATGTTCAGTGCTTCTTTTTCGAATGAGCTTCACAGTTTCTGCGGAATTTCTATGGTTTCAAATTTTCTTATCCACTTCAGTTATGTTTTTTTTATTTTTCAATAATGGCAAAATTCTATGTTTAATCTTGTCAATGGAAGACAATTGAGGGATAAACAGTTTTCCTTGATATTTCGACCTACTGTTGTTTTTGTTGTGATTAAAGTTTTAGTGTCATGTAAATCGAAAGATTTTTTACTAGTGCACTGGGATTTTACAGAGAGCACAACAGAGAGAGCCTGCCTTGGATGACGAAAGGCTAAATTCAGCAAGAAGGCGGCTTCAGGAGAACTACCAAGAAGCTCAAAACGGTCCGGTTCTTTAATATATCTTTTTGCAGTTTCTGCATAAATTGAATGTGATTGGGAGGTTTCAAGTTTCAACCCTTTATCTATCATCTTTACTTTTAAGCTGATTGGCTTTTTTCTTTTGTGTTTTCTGGTGTTTTTGCCCTTTTTGTAGCCAAAAAGCAAAGAACTATTCAGGTGATGGATATTCACGAGATTCCCAAGCCAAAGAACGCCTACTTCGCAAAGAACAAAGGCGGCTTTCAAGGGAGGAACCATCGGTAATTTTGTCAGTTTCTCATTTTTCTATTTTCTTTTCCATTGTCACGAGTTCATTGTTGTATAATATAATGTTGTCTGATAAATTAAGGGGCTTCCTCGAAAGCAGTTGGTTTGTTCCCCTTTGTGTTTTGACTGTCGAGCATAAGCTAAAATAAAACAGCAGATTGACCAATTCGTGATTTTGTTATTGTACTAGTCGTGCTTCTAATCTTGACAGTCTTGCTTCTAATCCAGATTTTACATACTTTACAGAAAAATCATATAGTGACAATGAGAACTTATGTTAAATATTAGACAAGTAACTAAGTGCAAATATAACTAAATGAGAATATGTTATAGAGCATCAAGCTAGTGATAGCCTTGTACTTTTGTCCTAAAACTCATCTTCTCGAGATAAATAAACTAAAAACAGTGTCATTAATTCCTAAAAGCAAAACAAAAGGTTCAAATGCATGAAAATCAAGAAACATATTATTTAAACCACTAATGAGTAATGAACCAAACATCCAAACTCCTAGTTGTCTGCCGGCAAAGGCTGCGAAAATGGGCTAAGAACAGGCCCAACTCCAAACGGGCTCGATGTGGGCTCAAATCCACGTTTATCATGGGCCACCGCATCACAATAGCCTCTCAATGTATAGATTTGGTCCGGCCCGTAACCGAGCATACCAAGCACGGTGGGCCAACAATTGTGGGTGATTATAGTGATGGCTTCACAACACGGCCGAGTAATGTCGATTGAGCCCGTCGCAAAATAATCGAGTATCTCGTTCGAGCACGACTTGATTTTGTAGAGCGCGGTGAAGCAGTCAAGGGTTTCGCCTTCCACTTCTGGGCTGTGGTTGGGCCCATTAATGGGATTAGAGCTCGGGAATGGAAAGTCCCGGTATGACGATAAACGGGCTGTGAGAGAGGTGATGGTAAGCAAGAAAACTAGACTCTTCATGATATCCATTGTTTGGAGATATGTGTATCCGGGATTGCGTGTGATTAAATTTGAAGGATATGTGACAAGTTTTTAAGATTTTATAGAGGGTGGGAGGGGAGGGAGAGGAAAGGGCTTTTGTTTAATTGCATTGAAAATGTGGGATTATTGCAGCAAAATGAAACGATGGGTAGGAGAAGAGTTATGGGAATGGGAATTGTTGTTACACATGCATTATCTGATCATCAGTGATTCAGTAGTCATTAATAAGGGATTACATCTCGTGCTCAATAATAGTCATTACCCAAAAAAAAAAATGTAATAATAATAATTATTATAAACAAATAAATAAAAAAGCTTATGCGTCGTTGTTCATGTTTTATTTTATTATTTTTATTTTTTATGTTGTAGTGTGTTTTGTGGTATCTAGGTTGCCCTCCATTAGTAGTCCTCTTATTCCGGTTTGTTAGCCAGTTGTAATTATGTGTTTTGCATGAATCGAGCTCCTTCCACCCAAACCAACACACTTATAAACAATGGCGTATTCAGGATGATTACATGACGTGGGCAGCATATAATTAACACCGCATCGTCGCCTCGCTTGCAAGTTTGATGTATCTTTTTCTTTTTCTTTGTTTTTTTTAATATATGTATACATATATTGACGGAATGGGCCTGAGGCTACTAAATATATATATAGAGGATGTGGTTCAAATGAGAACCAAATCTTAATGTGAGAACCGTGAGAATCGCTATTTTTAATTGTGCGTAGTGCATGATTGATTGTGTCTGATGCTATTTTTAACCATGATAAATTTTATTAAAAATAGCAACACAATTTTTGTTAGCATTTGTGAAAATGATAGCATCATCTAATATGAAAAATAGCATCATACACAATTAAAAATAACATCAAATCCGGTTGTCACGGTTCTCACACCAAGACTAATTTTTATTTGAATCAACCCCTATATATATATATATATGAGAAAATGTTATAGTGAAACAAATAAAAATGGATTGTAGCAGTCGCATGTGATATATCAATACTGGCACAATCAAATGGACCAGCTTTGGTCAAGGGGGCGGTAGTATTGTTGTAATTATATGGACTTTAGATTTTTTCATGAAGGGTATTTTAGTCTTTGCACAAAATACATTGTTACGCTACTGTGTATTTTCACCAGAAGTAATGTGCATTTAGTCTAATACTATTGCGTCTTCTGCAGCGGGCATTTTATTGTGCATATCCATACATGATATAGTTCATTACACTGAACATTATTATGAAATTATCAACATTTACTAAATCACATATCTGACACATGAACTAGATTGCAATATAGTTAAAATTCTTGAAATTGTAGATAAGTCCAGAAAGCTCGAAGATTATTGCATAGCGGCTAAGTGCGGTGCGTCATACCATAATTGATGTGGACGGAATGGATTTTCTGCTTGAGCTTCTTCCGCACTTGAAACTTATCTATTATTTTTTTAAAAATAAAATTCCCTAGACTTGTCTGTAATTAGATTTCATATTATGGTTATGTCTCGCCAGAGAACCCATCGCGGCCTGCACAGCAAGGAACTGGAAGGCCATGGCTGCCTTTTTCTTCGCCTTGACTAAGCGGCACTCAATTGTTTTCACCAGAGGATCCAAAGCCTCTTCCTCGATCACGCACTTAGGGGGAAAATCATCGGTGGGGACTAGTAGATAGACAGCCGATTCTCTGACAAAATCATGCGAATTGGGATTTGAGCAGCGAGATCAGGCAGTCGACGCTCCCTTCCCTGACGACGATGGTGGCATACTTGTCGTCCTCCGACATGAGCTGAATCAGAGACACCATCCAGGGCCTTTTTCTTGAACTCCAACTGCATAATAAATTTGTAACACATAATAAATGTTTGGTATTTATTTACACAATAAAGATAAAAAAAAAAAAAGTTTTATTTAGAATTACACAAAAGGTAAAAGGTAAAGATTTTATGTGCAATTCAGCCATAAAAATATATACAATGGGGCAAGGTTTTTCATTTCATCATAAGCCTGGCGTAGAGGTCCCTGACAAAAAATGCGAGCTCGTCCCTCGAAAAAGTCAGGGCTTGGTCTAATAGGGCTATTAAATGGAGGGACGGGAGACTCAAGGAAGTGGCTGGCGATGGCAGAT